TTGGCTTGGTTACGGCGGCCGCGAGTGGAAGGCAACAGGTACATCATCGATGAGATTATGCCATAGAGCCATATTATGGGTGCGCGCAGCTGTGCTGGCTCAGTCTGGTGGAAAGATCGCTGCTGCATCTGTACACTCTTTCAGTACAATGAGCTGTGTCACCATCAGACAAGATAGGAACAGCTGTAGAGGACATAGAGTTCCTCTGCAAGGAAGGATGATGCAGTTCCTCAGCCATGACCTATCTAGAAAGATAGCTTGGTATATACCAGCCAAAAGAGATGCATGGATCTGTATCCTGCATGGCTGGATGGAGTTTCACGCAAAATCAGAGTTTGTGTTCATATTATAGTTTAAAGAAGAAGTAATGAAGAAGTAGTTGACCTGAGAAACAGACCCAACAGCACAAGTAGAGCTCTGCAGTAGACAGGATCCTGTATGGCCAGTGCAGGGTATTGAGCAATTAGACTGTTCAATCATTGCTTCCACAGTGATTGAATAACATTGGCTGCCAGCCTTGTGGCTGGCCTTTCCAGCGCCAGTGGAAGGAGATCTCCACCAAACAGGGCTCTCCATCCCAGCTCTTGTGCACCTACCACTGAGTTCCTACCTGGAATTCATAGGATTAACTAGTCGCAAGACAAGCACAAGAGTGGCTGCCTACGTGTGGAACCATCGTCGAGCGACGAGTGGAAGAGAGGAAGATTGGCCGATCCATCAGCCAACACAACGAACGACCGAAAACTGGAATCGCGACCGATTGAGTCAAACCAAGTTGGTCTCCTACTAACAAAGGTATCCGCTACAAGATACAACGTCTATCTTCCTACCAATCGGCCTACCTTTCGAGATCGGCGAGTGGCAAGCATCGGCTGATCAACCAACAAGGAAAATCGTGACACGAAAACGCCGATCGACTTAACTCAACCGATATCTGAGTTGTAGGACGAAACCAAGCGTTCCACCTACCAACCTGAGGGTGCTTGAGAGGATAGTCCAGCCAGTTTCTTGTTAATCGACCTAGTTCGGCCGGCAGACAGTGGAATAGGAACGGCACATCACCATTGTCGATCCTTTTCTTTTCCTACGTAAATCTTCAGTCGTGCCTCCGGAGAGGATACTGCGGTGAAGGGAACCGGTACTCACACGGTACTCACAGAACCGGTACCGAACCTCTGTTCCGAAAGCACGCCGAGGCTTGAATATCGACCGGAGCTCACATTTTCGCTAATTCCGCGAACTCCGTGAGAGGATACGGATCGATCCACTGTTTCGACAGGTTCCAAACTTTTAACCCCAGGGGGTAGCAAACTATCTCCTCTCTTCTATGTCCTCTACAGCTGTTCCTATCTTGTCTGATGGTGACACAGCTCATTGTACTGAAAGACTGTACAGATGCAACAGCGATCTTTCCATCAGACTGAGCCAGCACAGCTGCGCCGCACCCATATGGCTTCTATGGCATAATCTCATCGGCGTTGCTCCACTGCAAGTCGGCACGGATGGACGAATCGTCATCACAGCACAAATGCCGCATGATGACTTTGGAGTCCCGAAACAGATCAACGACGAGCTCCAAAGCCAGCGCGGCTTCCATTGACCCTGATGAATCCTTTGGATCGTGACTCCTGGTGCAATAATGTTCTTGTACTGGTGGACGGTCATCAGGCTCGGTATCAGCGTGTTTCTTGGCCCAAGCTTCACATTGCCCGCAAACTTTGCTCTTGATGCCGAACGAAAAGATTTTTCTCGTAAGGGCACCGATGATAGCACCGTGATCTGAAACAGAGATGGCTGGATCCTTTCTGTTGCCACGCCATGTCATATCCTCTGTCAACAAATGGCATTTTTTCCTGGAGTAACGTGCCATTGGGATCGTTCAACGCGGCCATCCAATCAAGGAAATCTTGCTCATTCGGCGTCGATTTGCGCACCTCCTCTATTAGATTTTCACGGACGACTTCATCCTTCAATTCAAGAATCGCAGGAGCAATTCGTTCCTCAATCATGCGGAATGAACGCGATTTCATGGTGGTGTCATTCGGCATGCCCAAAAGACCGAGGATTTTGGCGACTTCGGTTCCACCGTTGCCATTCGCAATGTTGACCAAAGTAAACAATACGTTGATTGCATAGTCCGTGCTTCTTTCGACCTTGTCGTTGCCACCATGCATTGTCGTCAATTGATCAATTTCGAGTAAGACTCTTTCGTGGGGCTTCGTGTTGAATTTGGTCCCATTGTTTGTCTCTTCATTTTCCTCTTCGGTGGTGACTTCGTCCATGGCAGGATCTTCAACAAACTCTGGTGCCGTTGGATCATTAATCTCCTCCCCATACTCTTGTCGATTGTAATTTGGCCTTCCTGCGCCATTGTGCCTTGTCCTGGTCGTAACATGAGCGGATCCTGCAAGATTCCAATCTCCATCCTTGGATACTAGCTTTGAAGTCTTGATGGAAGTATTTGCCTTCCAATGGCGTACAGTACTGCCACCAGGGCTGGTGCTGGTACGGGTGGTAGTCGGTGTCACTACAGGTGGTAACATTGCATCGAGCTGCGCTTATTCAATGAATCGAATCCATTCGAGGTGCTCTATGTTTGTCGGCATTCCTGTCAATGGCATATTCACGGGGAAAGAACATTGAAATTTGGCGCTAACACGATAGGTCGACTGGCTCTTACATGTACAAAGACTTAGAGGGAAGCTAGGATAGGTGCGCGAAAGCTAGAACCACTCATGGCTTCGATGTCCAGGGAATCCATCACCTCTTCAAGTTGGTTCCAATCCCAGGCCGGCATCCAAAAGTGTAATATTTTTCCACCGCCCGGAGTACCTTCCATACGTTTTATTCCTACTTTGTAATTAGTGTCTTTCGGCGGCGAGAAAATGATACATGGTACTCCAGCGGGTTGTGCTGCGAACGGATACATGTTTAGCGTAGTTCCTGATCCACCAACAGAGTCATACAGAAACCATGTCTCTGGGGGAGGATGATATCGATGGACATCCTGCTCAGGTCGTTCTGTTATGGATGGAGGGCCATCATCCACGAAATCAATCATTGTCAACATATGGTCTGACGCTGAGTGGAACCACATGCTCTGACGCTCTTGCAATAGCTTCCACACAACGGTGTTTGAACTCCAGGACTTGCCCAAGCCGGTTGGACCTGTTACAATGAACGCAATGGGTCTGGGTCTCGCCGCTTTCGAGGTTTTGTAAGCCTGCCAGAGACAGTCAAAGCATTTTACTATGCATTCACGAATAAACAGACTGGAACTCTCGTTTCCTTGGTACCACTCCACCCATCGTTTGATCCAGGCGGAACAATAGCCGGCAAGCAGTCTGCTTTCCAACATTTCGGCCTCTTTCTCGCATTTTCCTCGCCCCCTCTGTCCTCTGTTTGTACCACATCGTGCTGGCGCTTTCGCGGTTGCAGCTCCGGAAACTTCTGTTCAATTATTCCTGGCACCAGAGACTCCCAAACGGAAGTAATCGCTGTTCGACAAAAAGATTGTAAAAGAAATTTAATCATAACAAAGCACTGACAAACGACAAAACAAACGAAACAAATCTCACCTCCTTCTTTCTTGACGTTAATCTTGTACGTTTCACTATCCAATTTCAGAGTGCCGCCGTGGCAATTCAAAAGAGCTCTCAATCGATTGTCTCTAGGCGTATTTCCCTGGGCATTCTTTACATTTTTCAATTGATCTTGCTGCTGCAATTTGTCATTGGCCTTATACACGACCGAATCGCTTACATCTCCATCAAAACCAGCCTAATCTTCTCGTCTTCTTCTGTAACGACGATAGTGCCTATTTGAGTTTCATCATCTTGGCCACTCATCCTTTCCTATGAGTACTGGTATCAACGATGTCAAGTTGTTGTTGCTGCTGCTCCTGTGTTGTTGTTTCTTCGCTGTTTGTGGCATTGTGCTGTTGTTGGCTGTTGCTGCTGCTGTCTGGTGTGTGTAGCGATGCTGCTGTCTACCCTGTCACCCAACACTGGATTTTCCCCACCACTGGACCCTGCAATAACACCTCGATTCATCAGTATGAGTCCCAAACCAGTCAAAGTCCAGTGGTCAAGTTAATGAATAACAGAATACCACTGACTAAACCAATAAATTCATGACCGTCCTTTCAGATAAGCACAATAGAAGCACAGAATAACCATTGGAGAGCAAAATCCAGTGGTCGGGTACACAGTAGCTGTGGTGGATCACATCGTACAGATGATAGAGGGTACCGGAGTACCGGTATACCGGTACTCTACGTTAAACGTTACACGGTGTTCGATAATCACGAACCTTTTGAGGTTCTGTGTACTGTATTTATTAAAAACAAGCCGGCTTACTTAGGGGTTGAGGCAGGGACACGAGGTCCGAGGTCTGACCGAGGGCTTAAGAGAGGGCGCAAGCCCGACAGTCCGATGGTCAGGCCGGAGACCGATGGGGCACAGCCGGCCCTAAGTAGCAGGTTAGTTTTGATGGGAACGATAACGGTCAGGTTTGTATTTAACGGTTGGTCTGTGTAGAACTCCGTACAAACCTACTACTGTACCACTTCCCATATACAAAACCTGCCGGTTCGTTCGCAAAGCTGCAAACTGAAGGAACGGTTCGCGACTTCGCGACGCTGCTTTCCAGCGTCAATCACGTTAATTAGGGACCCAAAAACAAATATACGTGACCCATCATTGCGCGTGACTCAGTCATCACACCTGTTTGGCGCCAGATGGCTGGCAGACACCCACCCACCTCTGCTTGAGTTCTCACGGAACGAACAGACGTTCAGAACTGTCAAGGCATGATGATGATGGGTGCCATTGGCATCTTCCTTTTTCGTGGCTTGCATGGGTGAGAGAACGACAGAATCCCAGAATGTAAAGAGAGGAGAGTGAGCCTTGTACAAAATAAATAATAAAAGGATCCATCCTGTGAATTATATCCCAACACATATCCCAGGAAATCCATCCATCCATCCACCACCAATGATAATGATGATCTCCCAACGAAAGCTCTCGGTATTATTGGTTCTGTTGCAAGCCCATTTGCGATTGGCATTCACTCCGCCAAGAGGCCACCGATTACGTGATTTCAGCAGGGATCGGTTCTTTGCCGTGGAGCATATCCTACCGCCATTGGCCTCCATTGCTGCTACCCCTCGTCCTCGACACCGAACGACCCTTAGCAGGAATGGTACCATGCACACTGGTACTGCCATCCTTGGTGGACACCGTAATAATGGTACCGACTTTGGCAGCAGCAGACAAGATACCATCCACCGGCAGCACATACAGCACTACATTAGCGATCATGACGACAAAGACGCTTTGCCCGTCCTCTACACCAATGATCCTAAAGTACTCAACCGCTGGTTGGCAGACAATATCCCAATGGAACCTTGCGTCATTGGATTTGACACAGAGGTATGTACTGTACCAAAAAGATTCAACTTGTGTGTGTTTTATGAGCATGGATCAAGAGCCATGATTTCTTACCAGCTACACTGAAAGGGGATTAGTCCTTGCTTTTGTTTGTGTTTCTGTTGGCTTTGTCTTGACAGCCTGCCTATACTTCTGTTGAACTCTTGTTCTCATCGATTCATTGATCTTTCATCTTGTGTACAGTCCGTCCCTGATGTGCCATGGATACACAGTGACTTCAAAATGCGCCCCGTCACTATTCAATTGTCCACCTGCACTGCCAGCGTTGTCATACCACTGGTGCAAAACAATCGATATTGCCGTGCGTGTATTCCTCTTTTGGAAACTGTACTCGAGGATGAAACCATTATCAAATCGGGGGCGGGAATTGACGATGATCTTGTCGATCTCAAGTGCCAAGTACCTGGATTCAAAGGGCTCCAGGCACGTTCCAGGTTTGATGTCGGATTGCTCGGAGTAGCCAAGGACCGAAGATTAGGATTGAAAGCTTTGACCAGGATTCTGCTCCAACGGAACTTGGAAAAACCAAAACGTCTTACCGTCAGCGACTGGTCGCAGAGTCCACTGAGTGATGATCAAATTGCCTATGCAGCCCGAGATGCATGGTGTGGAGCTGCCGTGTTGGAGGAGTTGCAGCGATTGGATTCAGAGACATTCCAGACAGATGCGCTGATTGATTTGTTAAGATCACAACCACCCTTGCATAGACTCGCGAAAAACCGCAAACAACGACAATCGGCCAAGAAACAGCTCAAATCGTACCACCATGGACGAAACCATACCAATCAGCATTTGCCGCACCAAGTTCAACAACAAGTCTCACAACTTCAGCAGGTACTCAAGGAGACTCAGGTTGATTTGACCATTGTAGAACCTTTACGTTGTATTGCGGATGAATGAATGAAACTTTTCAGATGGATACAAAGTGTACAGGGAGGAGGCGGGTGTGATGTCGGCATTATCAATCAAGTACCCCAATTGAGACGTTCTCAGTTTCCTGCTATGATCTTGTGGACCCCTGGACTGCTGGCACTTCCTTCCTTCAAAGCAATGATGGGTATTGGATCTTTGCACCGCATAGATGACCTTTGAATCACTGATTCAGGAACGACAATTTTGACCTTTTGCTGGTCTCGACCATGCCTTCGTGTCAAGGACCACTTGGTACTATCAATAGCTCTGCCAGTGTATTTGTGTTTTCTCCGGACAATTTAGTGCCATAATCGACCGATATCAGTTAGTACCGGTAGTGATGGCTAGCTTAGCTCAATTATGACGTGCAAATTGCTAGCATGGATCATCCGATCTGATATTGAATCTTCAATTGTGTTGGATGATTTACACTTATATTATACACTCTCTATTTTTGATGCACTGGCTGATACAGAAGCTTACAAGGAGAAATCAAAGACGATCTCGTCTGCTGCTTCGACTAAGCGCGGCACCGACTCCTCAAAGGAGTATACAATCGTTCCTTGTTGGATCAAGCTCTCAACGCCTTGGAGGTGCTGCACTTCAGTGATATCCAAAATCTGAACCTTGACGTTGCCTGATTCCATGCGAGTGGATTCTGGGACTTGTGGCTTCATAAGAAATGTGTACCTCCCTCCTGAGTGCAGATTATTGCATTTTCGTGCAACAAATCCCGACCAAGGGAAATGCCCCCGCATTCTCGTGTTCCAGCCATCCGCTCTATTTTCAATCAATTCGAATTCGTGCGTCTCAACTTGAAACTTGCTATCATATTGGATTGTGATGAGGACTGATCGGTTCTCTCCTTTCTCAGCTTTTGCTTTGTCAGTGTTGACTGTGTTTTCAGCGACTGTTATGTCTGTAGCTGAAGCGACAGTTGTTGATGAGTCTACATTGAAGCTGTTGCCACGCAGGCCTCCGGAAGATGCTTCCTGCGCCTTGGCAAAGAAGAGTAGGGCAAAGAAAATGATGATTGAGATGGTCTTCATGATGTTGAGCTATGAGCTTTCGGGTTGGTTTTGGTTCGTTGCTTTGTTTTGTGGCCAGAAATGAGAGATCACGATCGCGGGAGCTCGAGAGGAGGTCAATCGTGGTGTGACTGAGAATTAGCTAGCATGGTCAAAGCGGTCATGAGTCATGAAACATGAAAGTCAGCCAAACTCTTCGTCCAGTCAATGGACTTCCAGGTCTTGGGATTCCAGCAGACATAAATGTGAAGGGACGAGAGATCCTGTGCTCCTCAGCCTTCACTGTAGCCATGAGCATGGGCTGCCTCTTGCTTGTTTTCATCTCTCCAGCATCGTTCTAATCTCTGTTGAACATACGGTCCAGCGAATTATCCCATACGCCGGTTGAAGGTGTAGGCTAAGTAAAGGCGGCGTGCAACGTTTTCGTAGCCGCCATACTCTACAATCCTGTCATGCAACCAAGCACCTTCTGACCCAGCCTGGCTCAACCGACGCTCGCTGGGAATAGATATGACGGGGTTCCTGACCGGAGGCTTTGCCCGCTTGTGATCGCTTCTGATGAATTCACACAGGCGAATAGCAAACTCAAGGCTAAAGTTACCCCAGGATTCCACCCCGTTCTGACCACCGGTCATCCCGAGCCGTCCTGACAAGAACTTTCTCCCTCCATAGTACTGAATGAGGTAGTGCAGTCGTTCGTGACCATTGAAGCGCATCGGGTTGACCGATGGGAATGACTGATATCTACTAGTACCGCTACTGTTGTCGTCGCCTTGGAAGTCTTGGCTGTACATGTAGTAATCGTCAATATACTCTTTCAACAATAGAAAAAGCTCATATTGTCCCTCAAAAAAGTGCCACTCGCGGAAAGGGACGAGGCCGGCAAGTTTTGTTATCTTCTTGGCTCCACCAAAACGAGAAATAGCTTGACTTAGATCCCCCCTGCCTTCTTCAGCTATTTCACTGGGGCGTGACATCCAAATTGCTGGACGTTCCAACTTGGCATGTTGCTCGTGCAGGTACTCATACCTGCAACGCAACGGGCGATATGACTGAAACTGTTAGCAGTCAGAAACTGCAGAGATCCCTGCCCCTTCTTCGTTACTTACAAGTCCACCAATACCTGCTGCTGACTCCAATAGCCCAAAGGCTTTCGACCTGATCGATGCATCCACTTTCGGCTTGCTTCCTCCTTTTCTGCTCCTTCTCCAGTTCCTTCCAGCTTGGGCGGGCCCCTGGCTGACAAGCCAATGGTTTGGTTCTTCAACAATCTCTGCATCTCCGGGCAGGATTCCACCGCTTCATTCCATTTTCCTGGCATTTCCACGACGTTTTTCATTTTGAAGAATAGTTCGTCACGCCCTCCATGAGTTGCAATAGCCCATCTCAAATCATGGCGACCAAAGTACCTCACTACGGGTCAGCAAAGGAAAGAAGCAAGCAACCCCTACATGTATAAGTCGCCCAGAAGAAGGCCACCTTGGTACATTTGTCATTTTCATCATGGAAAATCACTTACAGATTGTTTCATTGGGGATGCAAATAGCACTCTTACGCTTGGTTTTGATTCCTAGACTAATCCAAAAGTTTTGAAATTCCGATTCGACATTGCGAAGATCCTGCCAATAGAATCTGTCGCGTCGTTCTGTGGGCTGCCGTCGTTCCTGTTTGGCCTTTCGAAATGTCGACAACGATTTTACTTCATTTTTTTGTGGATCCTGTGTATTTCTTACTGCACAGAGGACTGCAACGGCAGCAGGCTTTGCTTGACCCAGGGCAACTGACAGAATGGATAGAGGTTCCGATGTACCGGTGGGATGCAATTGGTCTCCAGCAGTACTCCTTGAAAGAAGAAATGATTCCCCCATATTTGATATTCTAAGCAGATACAAGGTGCACAGCCATGCCTGGAATAATCTTGGCGCCTTCATCAGCACTCAACAAATGGACGAATAGCATCTATCTTACAAACTCTTACAACATGTGAAGGAGTGTGGTGTGTGGGGTCTGCTCATTTTTCATCTTAAGTCTCTTTTGAACCGTGCGGTATCCAAAGGATCATGCACGTCTCAGATCCCAACGCGTTGTCGCACATCCACATCACAACACCAACCCGAGGATCCCAACAACAACAACTGAAGGGTTGTGTCCTGTCTTTTCGATTCCGACCAGGGCATCTCCATGATGGCATCGGCAGACGCATCGGTAGCCACGACAGCAGAGGAGGATCATGTTGAGAGTTTGGGCGAAGTCAAGGTTGAAACATCCTTGAGCAGTAGCGACAAAATCGAAACATCGTCAGACCGTGGCAACGCACCAGCAGCCTCTTCCTCTGCTTCAAAAGACGACGATGGAAAAGAGGAAGTCCCCGCCAAGGTTGATGGTACCAGCAGTTCCAGCCAACTGGCTGAAGAGGAAGGAGATCAGCAAGAAAATATCTCCTCGAACCCTCAGGAGAAGGAAAGCGTTTTGCAGCAGTTGGAGAATCTTGATGCTTTGGCCTCGGTTGTGCCATCACAATCTGAAGACAGTGTGGCATCACTGAGACTTCACGACGAAGCCGAACCAAAGAAGGAACGAGAGATAGAGCAGAATGAGCCGGAATGTGAAGAAAAATCTGAAAAGGAACAGCCTCAGGACACGGAGCCTTTGGAAGTGCCCAAGAGTCAATCCACTCCGTCACAGCAGCAAGCCCAACCCGCACAGCCTCAAACCAATCAATCAAAGCGAGATGAAACTGTGAATCAGCCTCAACAATTCACACCCCCAAGATCCCAAGTGCCGCTCTCTTCTTCTTCGGCTACCACCGAAATTGTAAAATCCATGTTTGGACCATCCGTGGGGCTCTGCTGGGGAGATTTTTCTTGCCAACACAATCATGTGCGAGGAAGACTCTACGCCTCCAGCGAAGCAGTCCTGTTTTACAGCAATATTTTCGGTTTTGAAAAGAAGATTGCTCTCCGATATGATGATGTTCAGCAAATGCAGCTGTATCGGGCTACAAGCATTCAAGTTTCTGTACTAGACAAACCATCTCACGGTGAAGACGATGTCACTCACTACGTCTTCAAGGGTTTTTCAGATCGTGCCCAAACACTTCAGATACTTATTGATTTGTGGCAACAAAGTCAGGGAGCTGAGAATATTGAAGCTCCAGAGGAAGCAGAAGAGGAAATCAAATTGGCGTCGTCCTCGCGAGAAGAGCTACCACCTCAACAATCATCAATCCAAGCCCCTGGAACTTCCACGACGCATTCCATGTCACCGGGAGCTCCAGACGAGGAGCGTGCCGCAATAACTGCTACTGCTACTACTACTACACGGCAGCCAAGCAACGTACCTCTCCCACAATCAATATTGAGACCATCAAAGCTGTCAACTCCTCCGTCAAAATCACAATCTCCAGCAAGAATGGACACAGCACAAACACCTCAACGATTGTTTCCGGATCTTGCATCATCAGCGGCACGTCGTGGACGATCCAAATCACTTCCTCCACTTCATCGACGCAAGAGTTTCAAGAGAAGTCAATCACCAGGAACAGAAGCTAGTGGGGGCTCTGGTACCGGTACAGATGCCAAGGACAACACTAGTCCAAGTACGGACTCATTTGATTGGGATAAGAGCCCCAGTGAAGGCGATCTGGCAGCCTGGAACAATGCCAAGAAGAACGCCGACGCTTGTATTAAGGATATTGGCATAAAGGTACGTTGTCCATCCCAGATAGTGTTTGAAAGGGATGTAATCGGGTGCATGTTTAACAATCTCCTCTTGCCTTGTCTTCTCCCCTCGCCATACCTTGATCTTGATCTTCTTTCAAAGCCCATGTCACTTGCATGTTCCTTGGCTACTTTCTTCAAACTGTTTCTGACTGATGATGCGCCCAATTCCGTTGACAAGTACCAACGAGGTGATGCTGTCAAAGATGTAGATGTTGTTATTACACCTTGGAAAGAAGAAGATTCGTCTTCAGATCCAGGAATCACCCTGGTTCGAACAATCAACTTTCGGCATCCAGTGAGCAGCTCCTTTGGAGTTGGACCTTCTCATGCACCTACAAAGAAGCGTCAACGAATGTTTAGATATCCGGGCTGTGGCATTTGCATATCAAGCAGCACAAATGTGGAAGGATTACCAGGTGCAGATTGTTTTGTTGTGGAAGACTGGTGGATCATTGAGGTATCCAAACCCGGTAATGACCGGTCTGGTGTGACATTTTCCGCAAAGTTTGGCTCCAAGTTTACCAAATACACATTTCTGAAAGGTGTCATTCAGAAGAATATCAAATCAGGCAACATTGATTGGTTTAGAGGGTATGAAAAAATGGTGCACGCAGCAGTCAAGGAGCATTCTTCCAGCGGAGATGATTCAGCATCAGTTCCTGACAAGGATGCTGCAGTTGCTTCTATAAATTTGTCTCCCACCAGCGAAGAAGATGGCACGACCTTTGGTGATACATTCCAAAACTTGATTGGCAACAAGGGAGGTGTGGTGCTTCTGGTGGTTGTGGTGGTGGCCTCCCAGCTGTTGGTTTCTGTGGTTTTCTTCCTGTTGGTGATGGACATGAGGCGATCCCAAAAAACCTCTGAAACCTTGCTGGAAGAAATGAAGCTGCTTCGATTGGAGCACGGCCAGATGTTGGAGGTGCTTGTGAAGCAAGGCAGGGAGTTTGGAGAGTAGATACACTGTACCTGTAGCCACTGCATTAGCCAGCTCTGTTGGCCTTCGTGAATTCGAGTCGAGTCGAGTCCCTGGTGTTTGGTGATTGACGTTATGTTAGTTTGTCCACTGAGCAATTCAATCACTGTTCGTGAAGAGCCCAGTGACACTTGGAAAACTGGCAAACAGGATGACTTTTCGTGACCTGTTCTTTGGCTGGAAGGATTTAGGCCTCGGTTCGTAGACAAAATCTAAGGCTGAAAACCGGCACTGCAAATGAAAGATGCCAGTCATTGGATTACGAGATGCAAGACATGAGGAGAACAATTTGATATGATTTGGGAATGCGAGAGATTGTGGCTTCGATCTACGACCACTATTCAATTAGAGGAGAGTCATTATTCTCTGTGGATATAACACGTGGGTGACACACCAACACTGGTTGGGAAGCTCTGATCCCAGACCCAAGCAACTTCCCCATTGTTTGACCAGCACCCGCAGCAAGAAGGAACTGAACTGCTTGGAGCCGACAAACACACCGCAACAACAACAGCAACAATCCCTTTCCTTTAGTCGAACATTAGATAGTAGAAACCGCAACAACTAACTGACGATGGGTCTCCGCAACCGCAAGGGAAATGACTCGTCCGATCCCACCACTACGGTGGACCCTGAGCTGAACGAGGAAGCTCAGGACCTCATGGGCGACCACTTGGAGTTGATGAAGGAAGTGGTCATGCGTATCCGCGAGGACGAAGAGTTTGCTCGCAACATTTACGCTGACTGTCCTCGTCTTCAGAACTTGTTGGACCGCAACCCTGATTTGCGTCCGATTTTCGAGGATCCCAACTTGGTCCGCATCAACTTTGAGCAAGTCTACAAGGATGCGGGAGGTGTGCTTCCCGAGGACGAAAAGTCACGAGCCAAGTGCCTTACTTGGTTCGTTAACTCTCCCATCTTCAAGGTCCTCCGTATGCTTCTCATGGTTAAGAAGGTCATGGGATGTATCGCCGGAGGTGGTATTGGTATGGTCACTGGATGTTTCATGAGTATGTTTTGCTGCGGAGAGGACGCTCTCCCTGATGATTTCGATGCCGAAGGAGACGACGACGATGACGACGGGGGGAACCCCGAAAACGAAAAGAACAAAGATGCCCTAAACAGCGCCGCTGATTACATGGAAGACCCTGACGTCCAGGAACAAATGGACAAGCTCATGGAAGACCCGGAAGGACTCGAAGAAGCGATTGAAGCCGACGAAGAACTCCGTGCCCTCCGTGATAGTAACCCTCTCTGTGCTGAACTCATGTCCGACCCTGAAACTATGAAGATCTTGACCGACCCTGACAATCTCCGTGCTCTTGGAGAAGCGCCTGACATGATCGAAGCCGACTTTGCCGATCCCAACTGGTCCGCTCCGGATCTTGAAATGGGTGATGGTGACTTTGACATGGATGTTTCTGCTCCCGAATACGACTTTGATGCCGATGTGGAAGCCGATGCTGACGCTGATGCCAATGCCAATGCTAACCAGCGCGACGCTGATGTCGACGGCGTGGAAGCTGATGCCGATGGTGGAGAAGGCGGTGAAGGCGAAGGAGAGGAAGGCGAAGAAGAAGAAGGAGAGGAGGGCGAAGAAGGCGACGAAGAGGAAGAAGATGACGCCATTTGGGAAGACGCCGAACTCGAACAGCAAGAAGGCGGACAATCTGGTGGACAACAAGGAAACCGTGGTGGTACTGGACCCAAGCAGCAACAACAGCGTCAACAACAGAATAACGACGGCGGAGAAGGTGGTGTTGGAGGCTCTGTCGCCGCCTGTGCCCGTGATCTCGCTGCCGGAGCTCTTGTTGGACATCTTCTCGGAGGTGGAGCCGACTTGTTCGGAGGCGGCGGTGACGAGTTTGATGGACTCGCCGACGCTGCGGATGCCGCTGACGGCTTGGATGGAATGGACGGCATGGACGAGTTTGATGACTTTGAAATCGATGACGACGCTCTTGACGCCGTTGATGAGGCTGCCGAAGAGGCCGACAACGTCGCTGAAGAGGTCATGGACAACGCCGTCGCTGCCTCCGAAATGGTCGGAGATACCGACTTTGCCGATACCCTCGAAGAAGGTATGGATGGTGGAGAAGACGCCATGGGTGAGCATGATGTCGCCAGGAAAGATGCCGCCAAGGGCGCGGCTGTCGGAGGAGCCGTCGGAGCGACTGCCGGTGGAACCGCCGGTGCAGCCGCCGACAAGAAGGAGGAGGAAGAAGAAGAAGAAAAGAAGGGTGGATGGTTCGGAAATATGGGATCCGCCGTCTTCACCGCTGCCAAGGAACAAATGGCCGCCACCCTTCTTGGAGACGATCTTGCTGAGATGCTTGTTGAGAAGATGGAGGAAGAATCTGAATCTGAAGAAGACTCAGATGATGACAAGGATTCTGACGATGAAAGCATCGACAAGGAACCTGAAGAAGGAGGAGAGGAAGGACAAAAGTCCAAGCGTTCCCTGTTCGCTCGTGGTCGAAACTAAGCAAATTGTGATGCTTTTCATCACGATGCATGTTGTCAACGCACTCTCCTGTGTTGACAAAGAGAACGAAGACATCAAGATATTGTGCGCCGTGTTCAGCTTCCGCTGCTTCCAACTCCTGGCGCGACAAACGATTTTCAAACGCTTCCGACTTCCAGCGTTCAAGATCAGTATCAACAAAGCGAAAATTGATACCTACTGCAGTAGAGTCCTAGTTAGTAGGGGAATAAGAAGGATTATGTAGACATATTTCATGTTACCTTCTGTAGTGGAGTGAGTGTTTCGACATAGTTGGAGTCGGTCTGACATGGCCGGTAGAGTGCTTAGTATTTTGACTGCACAAGGAAATAGAGGCGACGGCGACCACAAATTGATGCTCTCGATACCACCGCTGTGGGTGGATACTTTAGTCTACTAAATAGTCCATGTAGTAGAAATTGAAGGCTGTGGTACATTTTGAGGAGATCATGTAGCACTGCGATTGGTCTGATTGTGTGCTGGGCTGTTACAAGCACATTCACAACCGCACAGCAACTCGGTACAGTCAAAGCCGATATCAGGTGCCATGCACAAATACTCTGGTATAATTCCTGACAACAGCACATTGTCCTCCAGATTTAGGCTGGAAATGCTTGGCTCCAGCAAAGGCACTGTTCCAGTGAGGGAGTTGTTGTGGACCCAGAGATATCCTAGCGGTAGGCTTTCAATTTCTGATGGTATTGAACCTGATAGGTCATTTGAATACAGCAGTAGCCCATACAGATGAGACAAACGGCCAATCTCCGTTGGGATTGTTGAAGATAGAAAGTTTGAACCCATGATTACGACTTCCAGCGAGGCTGCAAGCCCAATCTCTGACAGTGGTGGAAGAATACAACAGTGAGAAAAGGTTCCAAAGTGTGGTGGGGAAACAAAGAGGAGCATCCAAAGCTCGAAACTTACCAGTAGGGACACTGCCAGTTAGCTGGTTGTTTTGTACAAAGAGATCCCTCAGAGTCGTCAGCTGCCATATCTCCACAGGGATCATTTCAAGAGAGAGCCTTTCCAAGAACAGCAACTCAAGGTTGCTCAGTTGACCAAACTCGGAGGGAATTGCCTCCGAGGAAAGTAGGTTTGAACCTAGATCCAAAGCTTCGAGAGTAGAAATCCGTCCAAGCTCTGTTGGAATCATAGAGGTGAGTGCATTGGCACTCACATAAAAGTACTGCAACACTGGCAAGTTCCCCCACTCGGATGCAATGGTTCCGCTGACAAGGTTGTGATCCAATGCCAGGTAGAGCAAATCTTCACACAACAGGATTTCTGTGGGTATGATCCCAGTAAGGAAATTCTCCTCCAGAGCAAGCAGTGAAACATTGGCAACACCAACTTCTGACGGAAGAGTACCGGAAAGCGCATTCCCAAACAGACCCAAATAAGTCAAACGAGGGAGAGAGAAGACTTCTGTGGCAATGGTTCCTGATATCAAATTGGCACTCAAGTCAAGGACCTCCAGGTTGGCTAGGTTCAACAGTTGGTCATCCCGTGACGACAATGCCCCCATCAAGCTGTTGCCCAACAGTTGAATGCTGGTAAGTGATGTCAAAAGGTAGATCTCAGGGGGTAACACTCCCTCTAGCTGATTTTGGTTCATCCAGAGTCCCAGATACCAGCCTCCTGTCCATGAATCTGCATTATCAGCTGTAAAGTTGACTCCACAGGGACTGATGTCCTCATCACAATCTTCAAGGTAGCAATATGCCCCAGATGAAAACCAGTCACATTCATGTTGGCCATAGTTTAACCAATTTGTTGTGTTGATCCACTGGTCTGGCCCTTTGGTGGCATAAAAGAATACTGCCAAGGCAAATCGCTGAACAATACGCCAGTCTGGAAGATTGGGAAGGTTGGGGTCTTTCATAAGCCATTGAAAGGCTTTGGCTTGCGCTGTACTATTACCTGTTCCAATCTCCTCTTGTGTCTCTTCTGGCAGGGAAGCAAATACCAAGTCTTGAAATGAGGTAGGTGAAAAGGACGGAGAAAGAGACGGTGAATATGATGCAAAAACTTTGGCTTCTGACTCTGTTTCTCTTGAGTTTTTCACTGCGAAGCCAACGCCTAATCCAATAGCAAGAACAATGAGGAAGAGCAAAAGTAGAAGGGGGCAATTTTTTTGCCAGAACTCTTTCTGCTGGTCGGAATCACTACCACCGACTTGTCGAGCCTGTAGCATGGTAGAGCAGTTGGGATGATCAATTCAGGTTGAAAGCGGACAAAGGCTAGAAACGAGAATGTTTGGTGCCACCTACCTCTTCTGCAAAGGGAGTGTCGTCAACAGGAGAAGCCACGGCCAAGCTAGAACTTCGGAGTCCGCTCTGGCTTTCACCATTACTCTCATTTGCCACGATTTCATGTACTTGCGGATCAGCAGTTCCAGCACCAATGCCACCAATTGCATACGCTCCAGGATCCAAGTTTTGACTTGTGCCACCATTAGCAGCTGCATCTTGTCTTTGCGGATCAGCTGGTTCAGAACCGAACCCAGCTGCCGGTACCGGTACTGCATATGCACCAAGATCCATGCTTTGACTTGCGCGGTTTGCTTTTGTGGTACCCTTCATTGCATTACCCTGCTGCTGCCATGTTGCTCCTTTGCTAATAGCTTCATCCAAAGCAGCAAATGCTTGAAAGTGTCTCTGTGTCTCTCCCTTGGCTCCAATGGCTTCGTCAAGGTCTGTGACTGCTTGCCAATTTCTCAGCCGCTCTGCTTCTGTAATCTTCTCATCCTGTCTTTCTTCTCTGGTACCCTTCATTGCATTCTCCTGCTGCTGCCGTGTTGCGCCTTTGCTAATAGCTTCATCCAAAGCAGCAAATGCTTGCAAGTGTCTCTGTGTCTCTCCCTTGGCTCCAATGGCTTCGTCAAGGTCTGTGACTGCTTGCCAATTTCTCAGCCGCTCTGCTTCTGTAATCTTCTCATCCTGTCTTTCTTCTCTGGTACCCTTCATTGCATTCTCCTGCTGCTGCCGTGTTGCACCTTTGCTAATAGCTTCATCCAAAGCAGCAAATGCTTGAAAGTGTCTCTGTGCCTCTCCCTTGGCTCCAATGGCTTCGTCAAGGTCTGTGACTGCTTGCCAATTTCTCAGCCGCTCAGCAATCTTCTCATCCTGTCTTCCTTCTGTGTCCTTTGTATCAGCTTCAGCAGCTGCTGAGTCTCCATGGGTATTGCTGCCATAATTATTGGTCGCAAAATTCTTTGATCCCATGCCTGCGGTAGCAACCTCTCTTGAAGCAGCGTCTCCATTTGCAGCTGTTGGGGCTGTCTTGCCTTCTCCTTGAATGCGAGCTCTTACCACGTCAAGTAGATCCAACTCGTCTTCGCTCTGCTCCCGATTATTGGAGCCCTTGATGTGGGACGCCTTTCCTGAGGTTGGATCCATTGTTTTTGAAGACGACTTGCTCCACGCAAAATGAGCTTTTGGCAAAAATCACGTTCAACCAATACCAACCGAGGTGATAGAAGATGATGGTCCGCTCATCTTTTTCTCCGGATCCTGATAATCTTGCGATGATGTCTTTTCTATTATGTGGTGCGTCGCCAGCTAAAAAAGTACGGAGAGCCTTGACTGACCAGCAGGAAATTGTTTTATCGGCCATTTCGCAAGTTTACGTTTTTGCAATAAGGGAGTCCCTGTTTTGCGGTCAGTGGAGTGTCAGTGGTGAGGGAGCTGTGAGGGGAAGAAGCTCCGAGAACGGACCAGTTCCGGCTGTGGACGAATGCTCGAGAAATTGTTGACCGTTCAGTCACGGGTCATTGCGGACTCAAGCGACGCCGACCGACGACACGACGATGGGCTGTACGATAACAATGTTCGGTACTGGTGCCGTCCTCTGAGCTACCGGTACTGGCTCCTTGCTACTACACGTACTACTAGTAGCAAGCATCGTCATACAGGCGCTATTGAGGAATTCGAACACGACGACACCTATCGGTAGCGCCTTCGTCCACCGTCACCACGACCTCCTCGGCGCTCGTTTTGACGATGGCCTCCGCCACCCCTTCTGTCATCCCTCCTTCCTTGACCACCACTACCACCGCCGCCACCACCTCTCCGATCTTCCCATCGTTCGTCCGTACCCCGGTCGTCTCTTCTTCCACCACCACCATCGCTTGGACGGCCGCCACCACTTCCACTTCCTCCGCCTCTGCCACCTCCTCCTCCGTGTTCTCGCTGTCCTCCTCGCTGATGACCATCACTTCCTCGATGCTGACGAGACTGGCCGCCGCCTCTACTATGATCTCCGTGGGAACCGTATCCGGATCCTTGAGGAGGTCCATCTTGTCGGTCATTGTCGTTGTTTCGCCCATCGCTGCGCTCTCGATGACCTCCACGATTCCCTCCTCCACTAGCTCGGTGCTGCTGGGGGCTGGGAGGTCTATTGCTAGTGGGGTCTCGATCCCGTCTGCCCTTGTTGGGTCCGTGACCACCTCCTCGTCGATGCTGTTGCTGCTGTCTGGAGTCACCCCGGTCGTCATCTCCTCGTCGATCTGCTTGTTGGTTGTGTTGCTGCTGATTCTGCTCACCATCTCCACCATGATGATGACGTGGCTTGCTACTGCTAGCAGGACCTTCAGACTCCGAGCGACTTCGGCGTCGGGATGGTGGGCCCTTGTCGTCGTTACTGGAGGATGACTGTAACCGTTGCTCATCTGGAGCTGCCCGTTGACTAGCTTTGCCTTCTTCGATTTCTCCCTCGTCGTCGCTTTCTTCGCTATCATTAGTCGACGCTGTTGGTTCTTGTTTCATCAAGGCTGGTTCTTCCTTAGATGGAACAGATTTCACATCCTTGGCAGGCTCCGCGTCCATCGGAGCATCATCGCCATCTGGATTGGCCTTGGCACCGTCACCGTGATCTTTGCTGTAGTCATCTTCTGATTTTATAGTGTCGTTCTTGACAATCGCCGGAGACTGTTCGTCTGCCTCATACTTGTCCGCAGAGTCTGCAGCGCGTTCGTTTTCTATCTTGGCTGCGTCTGCTGAGGCATCATCCACGACCTCACCTTCGTCCTCCTTTACGTTGCGGTCGCCATTGTTTGCATCTTCCATTTCTTGATCCTTGTCGCCGCTATCTTGTGTTTGCTGTGACTCTCCAGTTTCCTTGTCGTCTTCCTCTTTTTCCACAGCTGCTTGGTCTGGTTCCGCCTTGACCGGCGTCATTTCTTCGTTTTCCTCTTCGTCTTCTTCCTCTGCTTGCGACGAAGCTGCGACGGCTTCGTCTTCTTCTACTAGCATCAAGTCTTCCGCTTCGGCAGCTTGTCCTGGAATCTCGATTCCCTTTTCATCGCTCCAAATCTTTCGCACCATGTTTTCGAAATCTCCCTTGTGGGTAATCATGTGAAACTTGCCCAGATGATCCTTGGAGAGCAACCGCAAGGCCCGCCAAGTAAAGAGCGAATCATTCTTGGGATGATATTCTGCTTCGATTCCAGACTCTGGATCGAGGGCATCCACATACGATTCCAAATGATCTTCCAAAGCGGGAGGAACGGTTTGTTTCTTCTTGTCATTACTGTTGTTGCTGCTGCTGCTTTCGTGAGCCCCGCACGTGGCCTTGAGATCCTTCTTTTCATGAAGAATGAAATCAAACAAGAGCTCTTCTTCGTCCTTTTTCTTTGGTTTCTTGAACGCTGGGGCACTACTTCTACTAGCAGGTGCAGAAGAGAAACCGAGTGGTCCATCCGAAAGTCGTTTTCGATTCTTGCTGTCATCCTGTGTGTTGTTAAGCGGTGTATCTAGATCGGGTTGACACTTGTTCTTTTTCCACTGTCTCCAATGGACTTCTCGTTGATTGATAATGGAGGAAACAATTTGAAGGTGACTGGCTCCGAGTGGTTGAATATGCCGTAGCAGATCCTTGGCTCGTTTTTGCAGCGGCAAGAGTGCCGTTCCCAAGGCGGATGATTCCGAGGAGAGATGATTCTCGACAATCAAGAATTGCGTGAGGAAATGAATGCGAAAGATAGGGTCACCCAGTTGAATGGGTAGCAATTGGCTACTCGTCAAGTACTTTCTGACCGGTGGTTGCTGGTTGTCGTCGTCGGCGTCTGTGGTTTCTTCTTTGGTGTTGTCGTCTTTTGGAGTGTTGTTATTGTCCTTGTTTCCTGAAGTGGCAATGGCACTGGTTCGGATGAGAGGATGTGATTCCAGCGCAGCTAAGATCTTCTTCATTCTGTCCAGGAACTCTGCCACTTTGATGCCGGACGGATTAGAGAAATCTCGTTGCACGGCCCAAAATGTTTCGTAAAACGAATAGGTCTGCAATTCTTTGTTCTGATGTTTATGATGCAGTGATTTGCTTGTTGTGGTAGAAGAAGAAGTGTCAGTTTGCTGTTGTTGCTGCAGCTGTTCTTGTTGTTCCTGTTCAAATTGCTCTGATGTTTCAAATTCCGTGACATTGTCCGTGTTAAAGGATCCCCATATTTTGGTAGCGGATTTGTCCGAAAGTGGAAATGCTTTGGCCAACGTGAGTAGAATTCGTCCCGGCCATTCGTTGCTGTTGGCCGTGTTGGTGTTTGTCAATTTTTTGAGGAATTTGTTGCAGAGTTTGATGAATGGCAGTGCACAAGGAAAGGTGGCATTGGGATGCCACAACAAATCACTAAAGAGGATTGGATAGGACGGTTCCACCACGGATTGCCACAAGCTTTGAAAGGCTCCCAATGGCAACGCATCCAGGGCGTCTTCTAGCAACAACAGTGGCAACTTGCGGACCTGAATGCCTTTGTAACGTTCGTCCTGATTATCGTCGGCAAAGTAGACCATGTGCAGACAAATCTCCAACGATCGTTCCCAGTAAATTCCCACGTCTTCCAGAGCCTCTTTGTTGTCGTTGCTGTTATTACCAATACTAGCACCATCCGTCACAGCAGTGGAATCCGAGGACGACGTCACGTAGTCATTCACCAAGGACAAGAGTTGAGATCGCAACTGGATTTCCAACACATCCGCTCGAATCGAAGCCTTGGAGAGAGCTTCTCCCTTGTTGGTCTTGTCTTCGAGAGGAATGCACTCGCGAGCAATCCCCAACAAGGGCTCGGCCAGTGTATCAATAAAGGAATGATTCAAACAGTGCGAGGGCAACGGCGAGGACTTGTTCTCGGATCCTCCCATGGTTGTTGACGTTGCGGTGGCCATGGCTCCTTCCTTTGTCATTCACAGTAGTCTACTGAACGTGCTCTCAACTCAACAACACTCTGGCTAACATGCAGTTGTTGATGGTCTTATTGTTGTGCTGGGGCTGTGGACCTGTCCATGGGCGATCGAGACATCCAGACATCCAGACCGTGCATCATGAGAGGCGGAGGAAAGATCTGGATCGAAACAAATCGATCATTGTTCGAAATTAGTTCGAATGTAATCGATTTAGTCACAAGTTTGATGTGACTCAGACGTTTTGGCGGCAAAATCCATCATCATTCTCGATCATTTCCTCTTTTCACAGCCTTGAACGTTCTAGCTAGCTAGACTCGACTTTTTAATCACACCTGTCCTTGGCAAAGGATTGAGTTTAGTAATAAAGATGGCAAAGAAGGCGTCTCCAAAGAAAGGAAAGGGCAAGAAGGATTCTGCCTCTCCCCTGAAAGAGCGCAATGCAGAAAAGGTCAACAATGACGAAAACAAAGAAGACAACAGCCTGAGGGCAGATGATGAAAACAAAACCAATGACGAGGTACCCGCCAAAACCGGCTCTGAAAAGAAAAGCAGCCCCGAAGAGAAGAAGAAGGACACGGACGAGAGCAAGGAAGAGAAAAAGGCTGAAGAAGATAAGAACCACAGCAAGAAACGAAAAGCAGATGATACCGTTGACGACAAGGCTGACAACACGGATATCACCGGTGGCGACAACCAAAAGGCGGATGCTACCCACAACGATGACACTGCAGACGCAATGACTACCGAAAATGACGATGAGGAAGATGCCAAACCTGCCGCAAAGCCAACAGCAGAGACACCCGCTATTGACCTTACCAGACCCATTAAGAAAGCCCGGTCGGCATACTTTATATTTGGGGATGAACGGCGCCCAGAAATTCAAGCCAAGGTGAGTTATATTATGTGACTTCGTAGTGATTGATTACATGTTGCAATGAGACTCATCAGTCAGCGTGTGGTATCGAATTGTGGATAAATCAACCAATATACATTTCCGGATATTTTATTGAACAACAATTTGCAGCACAAGGGCGAAGGCGTGGCAGTTGTGGCGCGAGAGTTGGGAGCACAATGGAACGCCCTGTCGGAAGAAGAAAAGGCACCATACCAGGAAAAGGCCGCCCTGGAACGGGAAGAGGTGGCCAAGCGGCTAGAGCAGCTTAAAGAAGCGGGAATTGACTTGTCAACGCTACCGGGGGCAGCCACGGCCAATGAATCTGACAATGCCTTGGTATTTCCATTGGCACGGATGCGAAAGATTTGCAAACTAGATCCAGAAGTCAAGGGAATGTCCAAGGAAGCGCTGTTGCTGATTACCAAATGTGCCGAACTCGTCACTGCAAAATTGGGGATTGAAACCGTAAAAATCGCACAAATCCAAAACCGCCGCAAGTTGTTACCCGATGATGTAGCCGAAGTTTGTCAGTCACGGGATCCATTCCTCTTTTTACGAGATGATGTCCGAGACTTGGTGCGGGAACAAGTGGTGCAGAAGCAAAAAGAAAAGGAAAACAACGGCAAGACTGCCAAGGAGGCCAAAGCTGCCGCCAACAGCAAGCCATTGACGGCTTACTTTGCTGCCAAGAGCTCATCGTAGTGGAGTCAAGTCAGACAGAAATGCAAGAGATGGCCCCTTGGCTGTGGTATCTAGTTTGGTGCTAGCAGCTAAACCGGGATCGCCGTGAGAACTTCTTTCAGCCACCTGCTTGATGTTGATCTGTGGTGGAATTCAAACGCAGCATGACGGTGTACGCTATTTTGTATGAAGACGACAATTTCCGAATTAAAAATAGATATCAGCTGTAGCCATGCACTGGTACACTTTCAAGCTCATCAGATTAAACATTCATTTGTTCCGTAGGCCGCGACGAATCTGCGTTTTCCAACCTGAGCACCAGAATGGCGATACGCCTGCACCGATCGATTCGCGGCAGTATGATTGTGATATGCAGGAACTAGCTATTGTCTTTAAAAGAAGATCTATTTTATTAATACATGGTACAAAAACAGCTTCGTGGTCGCTTCCTCCATTTGGAAGTCCGGGAATCCAGGCTCCCTCTAGCTGCCCCATCATGAGCATTCCGGTACTTCCAGAGGCCCACCCTGAGACACCTCAGCACAGTGTCAGCATCCCATGGATGGCCTTTCTCACAGGCATACCTCCACATCAGATAACATCACATGGAAAGCACCGGAAAATGTGTACATGTATGTCTCGCACTGAGGCCATCTACTGAGTCTTTGGTCGAGGAGGCCCCATTCACAGCTCTAACGGCTAAAAGTACGCGCCCAAACAGTCACGCAGCCTCCTCGAACGCTGGCTGGGGGTCACTTCACAGTCAACACCGACACAAACTTCAATCCGTTATAGAATCAAAGCTACCCGAAGTTAAGAGGGACAATTGAGACAATGAGCAGTCGATCGGGTGGTGGCGTCCCATTGAAGAAGAGGCGTATCGATACCGTCGACAGCTATAACCTGGAACAATTCAAATTTGACGATGGAAGCGATGGAGCCGCGCAAAAACCAAAGAAACAGGCAGAATGTGACATCATTTCGATTGAGGACGATTCGGATAATGGTGACGACGACAGCGCCTATTCCAACTCTTCCTCCGAGTCCGAAGCAATGATGGACTTGAAACTTCCTGATCAGGATTATTCTCAAGAATCCATGGATTCGCTCAGCCCAAATCTCAAGACGCAGCCTTCTGCTTCAGCCCTTAAAAAGCGTAGACGGCAAAAGCAGTCCACAAAATCACCGACAAAAACCACAAGTGTCAAGGACAGAAAGCGCAAGGTATCCTTGTCGCCCCAAGATTCTTTAGCTAAGCTGGGGGATATCAGAAGTAACGGGTCCTCTACTGAGAGAAGCACATTGAAGCTCACCAAAGTAACCGCTGGCAAGAAGAAAACGAAAAAACCTGCGACGACAACGGCTTCTACGGCAGCCACTGATAAGCCCAAAAAGAAGGCGACAAAGAATGATAACCTGGCGAAAAGCAAGAAGAAGGAGTCGTCCAAGAGCAAACCAGCTACAGAGACGGAACAGTGGCAGAAGGAATTGGACCAGATGACACCATTGACCAAGAACAGGGCAATCATACTGGCATCGTTCAAAAAGCCCGATGACCCGGATGATTCCGTCAACGCACACAAGAGGAACTCAGTCCATTCATTCCCTGACGAAGGTGAATCTGAATCTGATGAGGAAGAATTGCTGCGTGATCCATTCGAAAAGCGAATTCCACGAAAGAAACCAAAGGAGAAACCGGAACAATCCACAGCTGCGCCAGCTACCGGTACAGCCGCCACAACCGAGGCAGCCTCAAAGGAACGACTTCCGAATTCCAAGTTGGGAGCGACAAATAGAAACAGCGAGTCTCCACAGTTGCCCGTCTCGTCGGAGCCCAAACGATCAGATGCTCTCGCAGAAAGCAAAAAGTTTGACAATGCAGCAGACAAGGAGAACAGTGAGCCAACCCAGCCCAAACAAAAGGCCATTGGGGATAAGAAGAAGAAGAAGCTACCCACATCTGGACCAGGAATTGTTGGTCCACCGCTCGATGACAAACCCGAAGTGGGCCGTTCATACATCAAAGCCGTGAAAGAGGTTTCTGACAGAAACGAAAGAACCACGGCAGTTGTGCCTTCAAATCCCAAGGCCAATGGCCAGCAGAAGCTGGGCAAGACTATCTGTGATAAGTCTCTGTCTGGATCAGGGGAGAATGCTCAGCAATGCGCAAAAGAAAAACCCACCAGCAAGAGTGATGGTGATCTCATCAAAGATGCACCCAAGGAGGGGGGAAACAGCACGACAAAGGAAGCTGTGTCCAGCAAGCCAAAGAAGAAGAAGAAAGGGAAGAAGGAAACCGCCCACAAAGCATCGAAGGAAGCAGCAGTGGGAACTGCTTCAAAAGGCAGTCCCACCAGCAAGAGTGATAGTGATCCCATCAAAGATGCACCGAAGGAGGGGAAAACCAGCACGACGAAGGAAGCTGTGTCCAGCAAGCCAAAGAAGAAGAAAGGGAAGAAGGAAACCGCTGACAAAGCATCGAAGGATGCAGAAGTGGGAACTGCTTCAAAAGGCAGTACCGCCTCGGCTCGGTCGGTGGAAGGGATATCGAAATCGAACAAAACTGGATGCAAAGGCAAGAAACCAGCAGCACCGGAAGCATTGAAGGGGAAAGATAAGACATCCTCTGTCACTGTTCCCCAGGACTCAACAACTTGCACGGCCACATCGAAAGAGTTACCCGTGAAGGCCGACGCAATCGTTACCAAAAACTCTGCTTCCACTGCACTAAAGAAGGCAGAACCAAAGAATGCCCAACTAACTAAGGAGTCGGACATGGCTTCAAAGAAAGTGGCAGAAAAAGCAAAGGTGGCAGCCAAAGCAAAAGGAGCTGGAACGTCCAAGAAAGCCAAGCCCAAGAAGAAGCGATACGATCAGCAGATCTTCGATCACATGTTCGCAGCAATGAAGCCGTTCAATCTCAAAGGTCTAGCCCAGGAACTCGATACGACTGAGCAGCAACTGCACCATACGCTCCTTGCGATGAAGGATAAGAAGCTTGTGCTGGAGAAGGAATTCACTTTCCCCAAGGGGAAGACCAAGACATTAATTTGGGCAAACCTGGACCATAAACAGTGCGAGACTGATTATTCTGCGGAGAAAGCCTCAGCCGCAAACCAGGAGCTACAGCTTCTTATGAAACATGAGAGGGATGTTCAGAACGAGATCAACTCAGTCGGCAAAACCCCCAGCAACGATGACTTGACCTCAGCTTTGGCCTCTCAAGAGGAAGAAGTTACGAAGCTCAAGGCTCAACTAAAACAAATGAAAGCAAGGATAGAGTCTGCGAAGGCGGGGGCTGCGTTAGCTCCCAAACCTGGTGTCCGGAGCTTTCTGGCCAAGCCAAAGAGTGCCGCTCAGCTAGCCCGTGAACGATGCCCCCGTCGCTTGAAGATAAGAATCAACGCAATGAGGAATGAATGGATGGTCCGGCGGGTAAAGTGCCGCGACTTTGTCGACATGCTTGCTGATGGGATGGAAAAGAAACCCAAAGACATTGTGAAGCTCTTGGAATTGGAGACAGATGAAATGGTGGGCGTGACATTGCCGCCAAAGATCCAATTGGAAGTCTAACTGGCTGGGGCAATTCTATGAAATGGCTTCTATTATCAACTAGCTTGTATACGTGTTTTCACTGGTTAAACACTGTCCAAAACAACGCTCAACACAACCTCCTTCACTTCAAACTTGTCTGGATCTGAGTTGTAGTCAGTATCGAAGTAATAGTCATCAATTTGAGCTTCCTGGCCCTCGATGTTTTGCAGAAGTGATAGGACCGCGAACCTCGGATAGTCTGGGTAAAGCCGGAACCCTTGCTCTTGTAGGAGCATTTGTGATCCCAGGGTGATATCTCCATCAAGTGCAAGGGTGAATGACAAAGAATTCGTGTCATCAATCCAGTCTAGAATGCTTTCCCGATCCACTTCGCTGCGTTCCGTCAAGGAGAGGAGACCCTTTTGTTTGAGTTGTTGACAAAGCTGCTCTATTTGATTGAATTTGGCATTGAGCAACAGCTCTGTTTTTGGTTGTTGCTTTCCTCTTTCGGAGTCCTGGGGAAGTAGCAAAGCGACCAGTTGATCGCCTGTCTGTTTCTCAAAGGAGCGTCGAAACGCATTGAAATCAAACTCTTTGCCTTGCTGAATGATGAGGTCCGAGTAGGCTTTGAAGTGAACATAGGAATAAAAGTTGAATTGTGCAGCTGTCTGTATATTGTTTTGAGATGCTGACAGCATCAGGTCTTGTTGGTCGCCATTATTCCGTTCAAAGGAAGGTCGCACCAAGGTTGCCACTTTGTTGATTTGTGCCTCGAGTGTTTCTCGTTTGATTCCCGTGGACGCCAAGAGTGACAGAAAGATTCCATCCGTGATATCCAGGATAGCCTTGGCTGTGGTCGCATCCAATGGAAGAGGATCTGGAATCACCTTGGGCGTGGGTCGACCCACCTGTTTGTTCCGTTCGGCTCCGAGCCCGAATTGATCGGAGAATCGTTCCCATTGTCCATCCACTTGGTCGATGACTTGTGCCCCTCGTACGACGGATTTTCGAACAGAAATGCCGAGATCGGATTGCGTGACGGCACGTGTAATGCGGGCACCCACCTCTCCGGCATGGGCGACTTGTGGGGCTGTAATGGTCAGGATGGGCGCCAATAATAAGATGGCTCGACGGTTCGGACTGTCATTATTCGGATTGGATATTATTTTTTGGTGGCGAGGATCGTTGAAGGATTCATCTCTGTCGCCTGATAGTGTTGGAGTTGACGACTTTGCTTTGTGGTTGTTGCGATGCACTCTTGGTATATTCCAAGCCATTGCGTGGGGAGGCAAATTATGGAGGAAGAATATCAAGGATCCATGAAGTATCAGAACCTTGAAAAGCTGGTGGATTCTTTTGACTGACAGTGGTGGTCTCATTGTTGTTTCTGGTGAGGATCAGGAGCGCAATAGAGCAATGAGTGGAGAGTATGAGAGTATGTTTGTTCAGTTAGATGCCGGTATCATCCATCATCCGAGCAGAGTTGGTCGAACAATGCATCACTATCTTCGGAAATCCCGAGGGAGAAGGATCCTGGGACTGTTGCATCGATGACGTCATTAGACTACCAGCAGCTTTGCGACCTTAAAGAATTCCGCCAGCGCATGCCGCCTCCCGCTCCACCGCTCTCTGGTTTCGAAAGGGGTACTGCTGCCGCCATTGCCACACAAATGGAAACGTCTTCTCTTTGTTTCTTCAGAGGCCGATCCGTCAAAGGTTGTTTCAATCATCGGAGAGTGGTTGGGTGCGGCTCAGTTAACGTATACTAGCTAGCTAGCTAGTGGTACTTATATAATCTATCATGGCATCGGACGATCCCCCGTTAGATCCGAACAAGAATAATGAGGATCCAATTGGCCATTTTCCGATCGGTAGGTCATCTATTATCTTTTGATTTCATCTGTTTGTGGCAGCTGTAACGAATAATTGTTGTTGTTGGATGTTGCTGTCTTGGCTGAGTACATACACGAAGCGCAGTGTTGTCTCTCGCTTTGTTGGGCTTCTTCAGATCTGAGTTGCGGGTTGCGGGTCTCCTCGATCGATCATGCTTGGATCTACCCTTCAACCTTCTTTTCACTGAGCTATTGACCTGTCGGACATGCACTGTGCATGACTAGCTAGTAATATTCAACCAATTGGGGTTGGCTGCAGTTTTTGCTTTGCTGGGTATCCTCATTTTTCTCTCGTCATTGGAATTTCTGAATTCTGGTTTGCTCTACTGTACTGTTCTTTATTAGACTCCGTCGAAGATTTTGATGATGGCAACCTCCACGATACCAGTACGACTGCTGCTTCCTCTGGGCAGAAGCGACCTGGGTTTCCCGGAGATGACGAAGACGAAGGAGGCCACAGCAGCCCATCCAAGAAAGTCAAGTCCGATGGCTACCAAGGGCATGACGACAACACGGACCACCCCTCCACTCCAGGTGGGAAGGAGAATGGGGATGTCCATGAACACCAGCCTCATGCAATTCATCCTCATCCACTTCATCATGACCAACCACCACCACCCAATCACATGACGGATGATAATACGGATGATAATGCCAAGCAACCAGACGCACCACAGCATCATCAGGGAGCCCCAATGGCACCAGGTTCTTCCTCTGAGCAAGCTCCTGCTACCCCCAATAATCAACCCATTGGCAGCAATGTGGCAGAGCAGCAGCAGCAACATCACCCACAGCAACAACAGCACCATCAGCAGCCACAAGAACATCAACAATACCCTCCTCAGATGCAGCAACAACCGCACCAAGGAGGTTACTATCCTTCCATGTATGGACAGTATCCTGGCATGATGCAACCCTATCCTCCATACTCCTATCCCCCGCCATATCCAGGCCCACCAGCGCCACCCATGATGCCTCCGGGACAACCACCGCCACCACCACAGGCGGCCGCTACACCACCCCAACAGGGGCCTCATTCGCCCAGTAGTGCCACCACGGACAACAGCAGCAACAGAATGTAGCAGCCCAACAGGATCAGCAACAACAGCAGCAACCGCCACCTCATTATACCATCCACAAGCAGCATAGTGACCAACAACCTCCACCCGATCATCCCTCTTCGCCCTCTCGTCATGCATACCAATATCCAGGAATGGTGCCACCCATGCACATGACGCCGTACGGGTACCCGCCACCGGGAATGTTCTTTGGACATTATCCCATGCCCAACATGATGAGTCCCATCTCCATGGCGCAATCCTACGGCACCGGTGGTGGCACCAATCATGCAGGTCCTCCGGACAAATATGCCAGTAGCTCTGCCAAACCCATATCAAATGTCCCTCATATACAGGCACCGCCACCCCGAAGGGCAGGGATTACGTTGGCGCTCAGTTGTGACGATGAACAGCTTTCCGAGTATCAAATGCTGGTAAGAAAAAATATTTGCATCGATTCTGGACTTGCTTGATTATCATGCTTATTGACTCGACTCACCCCATCTTGCCAAAGGTTCGAAAGCAACTCGAGATATTTGAGGCTCAGCCAGAAGATGTCGAATCCAATACACAGGGGCGCAAGAAGCAGGTCATTTTGGGACAGGTGGGAATTCGGTGTCGACACTGCTCAGGGCTGTCACTTCGGCAACGTGGAAGGTAAGGACAACGCGGAAGATGACTCGCTTGCAGGCTAGTTGTACAGTAGCATCCACTCACTGGCTCGTTCGCTTTTCAGGGGTGCTGTCTACTACCCTGCTAGACTACAGGGAGTGTACCAGGCGGCTCAGAATATGGCAAGCAGGTTGGTGCAGCAGAACAGACATACATGTGCAAGGCAAAAACCGCACTTCTCGCAAGCAAATCTCACGGTTGGCATCTTCTCTTGTTTCTTCTAGTCATTTGTGCGAATCCTGTCAATGCATCCCCCCACATTTGAAGGCAGACCTACGGAATTTGCGGGATCGTCGAGATACAGCCAGCGGTGGGAAGCAGTACTGGGCAGATGGAGCCAGGGCCATGGGGTTGGTGGAATCAGACGAGGGACTTCGGCTTCGTCGTCCAGAAGGAACCAATGGGCAGTCTCCGACGACATCATAGGTGCATGTCATGACCGCTAGATTGCTACATAGAGCAACTTGGAAACCTATAGACCAATTTTGCATTAGAGATGGTAGTTCGGATCTGGCAACTTCCGAAACGCTGTTGATTCAAATTTTGACACAAAGGTGCATCAAAAGCTTCACTTTGTGGTGTTGCTGCGGAGGCAGCTCGTAATGGAAGCTGTGGAAGGACGTAAGTCGTGCTCGCTTGTCGTTGCATTGGGGTCAAGTACGTGTCACACAGCAGATGACATCACTGTAGGAAAGCTATCTAGATTTTTGTCCGCCAGTCCTACAGAAATTGGACTAGACATGGGCCTCGTTTCTGTTGAAGAAAACTTGCTATAAAATTGTCAGTGGCCTGCAGGACAACAGCAAGCCCTGCCTCTTATCCTAGCTAGATAGCGATTGTCTTCGTCTCCTGTCGTCAGAGCAAGACCTGCAGGTCTTCTTTTGCACTTGTTTCAGAAATTCGAGCTGATTGTTGTTTGTTGCTAGCAATACAACTATAGCTTGCCAGAGCCAGGTGATCACCGCAATATAACTAGCTCGCCGCACCGTACAGCAACATCAATTCTTGTGCTTTTTGGTTCGCGACCGGCGCGACAGTGCGGCAACTCCCAACACCATCAACACGATGCCAGCCACCACGGCACTGACTTGCATGATATCTTCAAACCCACTCAGCTCCTTTTCGGCGGCAATCAATTGTCTCTGTTCCAATTCGACAGGATCATCAGCATTGTCTTGGGCGTTTTTGAAGTCTCGAATTTCGCGACGATTGTGTAGTTCCGGTCGGCCAATCTCTTCTTCCGCTTCTTCTTCCTCCTTGTCTTCTTTTTCTTCCCTCTTTTCAACTTCTTCTTCGGTCGTGTCGGCATCTTCCTCCTCTTCCTTTTCTTTCTGGTCATTTCCTTCTCCTTGGTCATTTTCATCTTCCTTTGCCGAAGGAGCATGATCGTCGGGTTTGTGAATGATGACTCTGCACTCTTCAAACTTGTCAATCAGAGGAAAGTTGTCATTGATGTAGTCGGGGCCGCTGTGAATCTTGCCCTGTACAGGGCCCTTTCCCCACGGAGGCATATCTAGTCATTGAATAAGTAAGAGCAAGTTGTTGCGTCCCAGAAAAAACCAAGAGGTATATGAGGTGAACTGGAAAAACGGTCTGAGTATTCCAGCGACATATTCATTTAATCGTACGCACCACCGTAGGAATACAACTCCTCAATATGTTCCATGCCTTCGACTACTTCTCCAAAGGGTGTCTCCCAGAGTTCTTTTCCTACGAATTGCAAAGAAGGTCTTTCGTGAGGAAAATGGTTGAAAGAGGGTATAGGCATAAGCAAGATTGGTCCTTACCAAGATTGGGATGGCTACCGTAGGAAATAAACATTTGGGATGTTCGACTGTTGGGTCCATTTCCTAATAATGGGTGAAAAAAGTTCGTAGAATTCAAGGGTCGGTGAGTTCAATGAAATGGCAACAGCCATCCTCCATCTTTAACCCGAAATAGTGCAGACAAAAGACCCACAGGCTTGGCCGGCTCAAGTATGCACGCACCTGCAAAGGACATGATCCCTTTATGGAAGGGGATCTTGGGATCCGGCACAGGGTCATCGGCGACTTGTGTACGAGAAAATTGCTGGAGACCTTTGTTTTCGCTATAACTGATTCCAAACTGGACGAGAAAATTTGGCACTACCCGGAAGAAGTGACTGTGATCAAAGAATCCCTTTTGAAACAACGCAGTGGCTCTGTCGTAGCCATTAGGAGACCAATCGCGATGAAACTTGGCCACAAAGGGGCCCTTGGTAGTGCCACAGCTGATCGTTGCCGTCTCCCCCGTTTCGCCTGGTTCATGAATCATCTTGGCTCCTCGAATCCCTCGATCTGGATTGTGGGGATCTGCCACGGCACCTTGATGAAACTCTTCGGCCATTATCTTGATACGTTGGGCGACTATTAACCAATACTACTAGCAAGAATAGGAGTGGTTGTTATCCACAAACAATCGAGTTTGTGAAGAAGATCGAACGGAACTGTTGGATCTTTTGCTCGAGAAGAGAAGACCGCTTGCCGCAGTGGTTCCCGCGTGATCTGGAAATGATCCTGTTGAGCTGTAAAGGACTGTTACAGAAATGGAGCTGATGCTGTCCTCTACGATACCGCTACCGGCAGAGCCAGCTAGAGTACAGCTGTAGAC